TACAAGGGGCTTGGCCTATTCCCACCCCCTAACTGTTCATCTTGTGAGGGAGGTCAAATTGTGTGTGGACCGGTGTGGTATAGATGGATGTACCCATTTGAAGGATATTGTTTATTTGTGGGACCCTCTTACTCATCGCAATGGCGGTGATGATTGGAAACATATTATAGAAATGTAAGTTATTTTTTAAATTTCTTTCCATTTATATCAGTATGATTATTACATTATCTGAATAATCAACAATATATATGAAGGGCTATTAAAATGGTTCATGCGGCCTCTGGGAATGGAAAGAAAGGACAAAGTAAAACTACTTGGGAAATTGTCAAGGTAATTTAATATTTTTAACTAATTAGATATAAGTGTTTGTATATGTATATATAGATAAATTGAAATGCACATGCAAATCTTATTTAACATTTGTAGGCTCCTCATCAATCGGATAGTAACCAATGCGGTTTTTATGTTATGGCTTACCTGAAAACTTTAATTGAGAACATGCCGGACATTGATGATAAAGATTATGTTCAAGCACTGGTAATACATTCCATTTCTATTTCGTGTTTAAAATTATTCTGATTTGAATGTTTCAAAGTGGAAATATGATGCATTTGAATTGCTTTACTTCACTGTCTGCACATCCACTTTGAGCTTTCTAGGTATTGGTATTTATTTATGTTGATATAGGGTCCAAATTTGGTGTTATTTGACGATGAATCTTAGTTCATCTGATATGCTTAGTAAAGTTCTGCATTTGGGTCCAAAGAAACATGAATCTGGTTAGTAAAGTTCTGCATTTGGGTCCAAAGAAACATGAATCTGCTTAGTAAAGTTCTGCACATCCGTCTCAACGGTTTATTTGATGAATCTTTAAAATTTGGTGTCATTTAATTTGATGAATCTTAGTTCAAACATTGCCGCCAATACTCACTATCTATCTAGTTAGCTATCTCTTATAATGTTATGTTGACTACGTACTACTTTATTTACTCACTTTTTACATGTAGTTTCAACAAGTTGATTATGACAAAACAGTTATTGATATGGTGCGTTCAGAATGGGCCGATGTTGTATCAAGTCATATAGAGTAGGTATGATTTGATGATTGGAACGTTGTGATCATTTAGACTTGGTTCGTGGAAATGTTTTTTGTAGTATTATGATGACTTGGATAGTGATTCGATTTGAATTGGTTATGGAAGCATTTAGACTTGTTAATTAGTTCTTTTGTATATTGAACCTTAGCTTCTGCAAAATAATGTAAATACACTTGGTGATGATGAATGGATAAATTGATTTTTTATATTATTAAAATTTAAGCAGGTTTCGGTTAAAAACCGTTGAGACAATGATTAAAAATCGTTGTCTATTTTACATAGACAACAGTTTAAAACTGTTGTCTTTTCTTCAAAAGACAACAGTTTATAGGCGTGACTTTTAACAACAGCGGTTTCAACAACACACAATAGACAACAGTTTATAACCGTTGTCTTTTGAAAAAAAGACAACATTTAAAAACTGTTGTCTATGTGCATCACTTTTAACTACACCGGTTTCAACAATAGCAAATAGAAAACGGTTCAAAAACTGTTGTGTTTTAGAGAAAAGACAACGGTTAAAAACCGTTGTCTATGTACGTGACTTTTAACAACACCGATTTCAACAACACAGAATAGACAATGGGTCAAAAATCATTGTCTTTGAAAGAAACGACAACGGTTTAAAATCGTTGTCTATCCGTGTGACTTTTAACAACACTGGTTTCAACAACACACAATAGACAACGGTTAAAAACCGTTGTCTTTTCTATAAAAGACAACGGTTAAAAACCGTTGTCTATGTGCGTGACTTTTAACAACACCGGTTTCAACAACAGTTAATAGACAACGGTTAAAAAACCGTTGTCATTTCTAGAAAAGACAACGGTTAAAAACCGTTGTCTATGCGCGGGACTTACAACAACACCGGCTTCAACAACAGAAATTTACCCCTACGACAACGGTGAAAAACCGTTGTCTATGTGCATTTTTCTTGTAGTGAAAAAACGATGTTCTGATGCATCATTTTCTCTCTCTAAGCTCTGAGTGTTGAAGCTGCGTATGAGAATTGAGGAAGAATGAAGGGTATTTGGCATTTATTCTCTCCAAATTCTAGGTGTTGAAGTTGTGGAGGCAAATTGGGGAAGAATGAAGGGTATTTCATTTTCTCTCTCCAAATTCTGGGTGTTGAAGTTGTGGAGGCAAATTGGGGAAGAATGGAGGGTATTGAATATTCTCTCTCCAAATTCTGGGTATTGAAGTTGTGAAGGAAAATTGGGGAAGAATGAAGGGTATTTAGCATTTTCTCTCTCCAAATTTTGGGTGTTGAAGCGCTTGGGGAAGAATGAACTCAATGAAGGGTATTTGGTTTCATTCTGCTGAGGTATATTTAATATTTTTAGATTTGAGGATATTAATCTTAGATTTAACATCCATTTAACATAAATTTTAACGGAGGACTATTTGTGGTAAAAAATGAAAGTTAAGGTATGCTTTTTAGTCTAATTGAAAGTCGATGATTAAAAGGAGTACTACCCCTATAGTTAGAGGACATTTGTGGTATTAACTCTTGTGACTACCACGAGGAGTATAAAATATAATGTTCTACGATTTACATCCAAGAGTTTTTGTGTACACCTTGGTGTCTCCCTCTCATTTTTGACTCATTGTCATAACATTGTCCCCTTACATTATATATATCAAGATCAAGTGATATCAACATATTTTGTAATACTTCAAAAAGACCTTGGCAAATAGTTAGTGTCATTCACAACCAAGAATTCCAAGAACTCTTCTATTTTAATTTGACATATTGATGTATCCATACATCTTACAATCAAAGACATTTGTTCTTTGTTCTTAGTGACTGACATTAAAGTACAATCTAATATTGCTGAAAAATATTTTGTTTCTTTGATTATTTTAGTGACCTTTAATTTGTTTTAACTATACTAGCAAACATAAGTATAAATTCATTTTGAATCTTATGACCAAGATAAGGATGTTGAATATCATGATTTTTAGCATGTGAAGATTAGCATCAAACAAAATTTTCTTGACATCATTCTTTTGCTCATCTATTTGATATTCTTTTGTAATGAAATTTTCAAGAGCTCTCTTTTTGATATTGAGTTAGTTGATTGCTCAATTCTTGTTTTCTTTTTACGTCTTTCATAACCATATGAATATTCTCTAGAAAACATAATTACAAAATTCTAAAAAAAATTATTTACAACCTCTTTCAATAAATAATTTATCAAGAAACAAATTATTCATTATTCAAAATTATTAAGCCAATAAGTCATGCCAATAAATAATAATTGTGATATAAACTGAATAATATGTACAATTAAGTTAATAAGTTTTAATTAATAATTACCTGATGAAGTCAGTATTCAAAATTCAGAACTTGTGTATATAGTATACAACCGATCGGCGACATCCACTCGGACCACTCCGGAGTGGAGTGATTTTTCCTATTTTGTATATTTTCCTAATTATAGATGAATAGATGATTATTTCCCTAATTATAGATGAATAGATGATTAACTGACAGCCCCTTTTTGAGATAAGTAGAAGTCTAGTACTTTTTGTGTGTTTGCTTGCTTGTTTCCACGACTAAGTTATATGATGGTCTGACACCTAGAAGCTAGGTGAAAAAAAATTGAGTCCTATCATACAAGTTATTGTCTTTTGGTATCTAAATTTGGCTTGAAACTTAATACATCATCTTTCTGTTATTGTGTTCTTCTTGAAGTTTTATCATCAATGCAAACTCGCTTGGATGCTGAAACAATTGCTACAAAACCTTATTAGCATGCATGTGTAGCTAATATTTTGACAAATGTATTTTTGATGGTGAAACAATGGCTACACACTGCTGGAAATCTGCCGATTTCCGACCACCTGAAAGTGGTCGAAAATGGCCTTAATTAGGTCGGAAACGCCTGTTCCGACCTCTTTTCTGACCAATTTTGGTATTCGGAAAAATCACCCTCGCTATATCCGACCACCGAAGAAGTGGTCGGAAATAGCCATCACTTTTCTAAGGCCGTCGAAAAAAATGACCAGGAAAATAGTCGGGCGGGTTCAGATTTCCTGTCCACCAGTGGTCTGAAATCTCGACCACTTTGGTGGTCGGAAAAGTAGACATAGTCAACAAAAAAAATTCATTTCACCACAGAGGACCCCCTGTAGTGAAATGAATATATATATATATATATATATATATATATATATATATATTGTTGCAAGCTGGTAAGATATTTGCTACAAAACATATAGACATTTCATAAACTTGAAAAGAATCCATTCATGAATATATAGTTGAAAATTTAACACAAGTCAATCTAGAAAGAAAAGGACAAACTATGATACACGGATGCAGTTCTTACAGCTTCTTCATCAATGTCATGTATGTTTGATGTCAGCTTCTTACAGCTATAAGTTATTGCATGAGGGCTGCAATGTTTGATGTCAGCTTTTTACAGCTATAAGTTATTGCATGAGGGCTGCAAGAATTGCAGACAGACGCTTAGGATGACATGTATGTTTGATGGATTCGATGAAAATAAGCTAAGGTTAACTTAATATGAGGAAATTACTTAATTACCTTTCCAAGATGGGTTTGTCTGAAGTGAGCAAAGAAGTTATCCCTCCAGTAGCTCCAAGAGCAAAGAAGAACATTCCAGCAAGGAGTTTGGTATGCAAGTCTTTGGCTTTTGCTCTTTCCTCCTATACATTCATTGTACACCAATTTGAATGAATACTATATATGTACCACTATGTTGTGTCATGGTAATAACTATCTTAGAAACGATTTCATTAAGCTGCCTCTATATGATATTCGTATACCCAATTTAGAGACAGGCCGGAACTATAAATATAAACAGATGGACATTCAAGAACCCATCCAATTTTGAATACAAAAGATAGATTGCATAGTTGTTACCACATCATCAGAAAACCGGATTATAAATCCCAGGTAAGTTCCATAACCACCCATGGCAAAGAGCACAACATCCTATAAAGTGGAACAGCAACAATAATAGCATTTAGGGAATACTAAATAAATAAATGACAGTAGATGCAATCTTAATTGGATCAATGGAATGAAATTTCCTTCAAACAGACAAGTGTACCATGTTGGCGGGATGGCCCCAATGCACGAGCCAGTCAGGAAGGTTCCATGATTTAACTAGCTCAACGAACAGTCCAAACACAGACCTCACAGCTCCAGCTGACTTCAAATCATCAGTTTCATTGTGTGGAATCACACAAGTGCCCTAAAATGATACCAAAATGGAAAACATTTAACTATCCTTGCTTGTTTACTAAAAAAGAGAAGTAGAAAAGGTATTTCATGTCAAGCAAACTCGCATTACTAAAACTGACCTTACAAACTTCTCTTGCCGGTGATTCATATCTTCAGTTCATCCACTAAAATGTCCATATACAAGATCAATTTCAAAACTCCTTTATATAAAAGAAATTCTTCACTTAAACACCTTGCAATGGAGCAAGAAATAGGCAACTAAGATTTCCTACAAAAACTATGAAGCATGCTGAGCGTACAACATAATAAGATTACTTACAGGTAAATTAGCTAATAATCAAGTACTTTCAGAGAAATAACTCAAATTACTAGAGCAAGAAACTACATTAAGAATTAAACTACATGGTAATTCATCATAATATCAGTATTATATATAAAATATGGATAATAATTAGAATCAAAGAAAGGCTTGCTTCACCAACATGGAAGGTCGAGCATCGTTCACCTCTGGCTTCCTCCAAGTCTTCACTGCCTTTTCCTCAAGAGAGCGGGAATGGCCATTGCTGGCTTGCTGCTTCCAGCCCCTATATGGAAGAATACTCACAGTCATTTCAGTCTGATGCATAAATTGCTTTGTTTGGTCAATTGGTTACCTTGTAGAAAGACGAAGTATCATCTGTTTGTGCATCAGGCCATTTCTTTGCATCAAGATCCATCACTAAGCCAGGTTCCAGATTTGTTATAACCACCTGATATTAAACCCAAGTAAAATAAGAATCAATCTAGCATATACGATTTGTTATGAACACAAGCATGGCTATGCATTTTATGTTTACCCAGATACACACCTTAAGTGGATTAAATACAACCATCACTCGAGGTGCTGTTTTATTTAGTTCTTCTCTAATATGATACTCAAGACAGTCTATTTATATCATAGTCTGGTCACTGCATGTGTCAGTCCACTTAATCAGAAGATACAAAATGAAGTTCACATTTTCCATATATGAATATGCAGATACATTGCTTTCATGTTTACCGGCTCCATGCAAATTAGGAGAGTAGATTGGAACGACTGCGGATTTGCACCACTACTACGTGCAGCAATTTGACATTTTGTCTCACTGTTTTCAGATGGGGAGGATATCAGTACTAGCACCAAATGATGCATGTAATGTGACAGATTACAGTATAGAATAGAATGCTAGGCAAAGGAAGTTTTACACCCAAATGTTTGCTTTAATTCTAAACATTCAAAATGCTGGATTGTGAAGCTTATTCAATTTATAATAGCTTTGGTAAGATGAAAGTGAAAATAACCAGTCCAGTAAATACATTTGATCTATTTTATACAAGGAATTTACAAGGAAGAAGAATAAAAATGCAATTTTTAGCACAAAAGTTTCAGACTTTACATATAATTAAAAGAACGGAAAGTGAAAAGGGCTGAGGGTATATAGTCTTACCCGTATTAATTCTTTATATATGCCTTTAACCCCCAAGATCTAGATATCTGTTGGGATGCCACCTTGTGTAGCATAATTAAAAAGTTGTATTCAAATAAGTTACATCTTATAATTATAATTATAACTAATTAACAAAATAAAATAAAAATTAAGTAAATGACATTGCATTCTTCAAAATAAGGAACAAATTAAAAGATAAGACACTTTCATATGATGTATAGGTAGATGTAGATTAAGTAAAAGATTCACCCGATAAACATAAATAAATACGACAAATATAGATTAATTATTTATGCAGTGTACTTACCTTCACAATGTCTCCAACCTGAAGCTTCTTCCAAGGAATGCTCAACCATTTTTGATCTCCATAGATGTCTACACGGTCTAGATTTCAAACAATATGCACTCCTAACAATAAAATCAAACTAAACAGCATTCAATCAAAGAGCTAATGGTAACAGAACATTAAGTAGGGCAGGGAGTTAGCCTAGATTGTCTATTTCCTTGAACAAATATATTTAATCAAGGAGGGAGATGGAAAACATTAAAGTTATATACAGGAAAAAAACACAAGTTTCGACTAACATTCTAACAACCATTAAAGTTAAATTAAAGTTAAATTTCTTAATTGAAATAGCCTAAATTTGCACTGAATTTAGTTTTGAATTTGCACTGATGTCTTCAACCACATGATTTCACCTGTAAGTTCAACCAGTACAAAGCTGCTGATAAAGCCTGTAATACCATTCAAGAATGCTCGCCACATTCAGAATGGTTAAAGATATCTGCAATGGTGTATATGCAATGAACACAAACGGACTGCAAACTTAAATGGAGTCTAACATCCTAATTGACAACTAACATGCTAAAAATTGGTCGGCACAAAATGGAGTGAACAACAAAATAGAAATATATTATTTGAGTAAATGAAAGTTCAGGAACATCCACAAAGTAAACTCACCAATTTCCTTGCTGTGAATACATGGTATCTCCATTATTAATTTCCTCATTGGCAAATTCTTCAAGTATTGCTTGTTGTTTATCATTTAATTCTCTCGAAACCAGTTAAAACAATAATATAGACAAAGCATTTAACATTGTCTATAGCATGCATCTCAAAAGACTTCCAAAAAAAAATCATGAGATTTACATAGAACATATAATTATTTAAAAAAAAAAAAAAAAAAAAACCAACACCAACAACAAATGTATGAGAGAATTACGTTGGAAATCTTATGCAATAGAAAAGCTATATACATAATTCAATATACCAGGTAGCTGATCTAACTCCAAATTTAACTTTAATGTTTTTTCTTAATCAAAATGCTAAGTTAAATTTAACAAATCAAAATGCTAAGCAAGTCGAATCTTAATCAAACACAGGTAATTAACGAACACAAGTTCAATATACCAGGTAGCTGATCTAACTGCAATAAGAGGGGGTATTATATATATTTCATAATATCTAAACCTACAAATCCATCTATATCTAATCAGAAATGTCAAAGCAAAAATGCAGGAAAAAAAAAAAAGAGAAGAAAATGCAGTTGAAATAAGATTTCTAAGCCTAAACCCTAGACAGAGACTAAAACGGTGATACCTTTTGGTTGAGGATGACGATGTGCGACTCCGTAGCTTTTGAAGATGGCGATGACTCCGTAGCATTAGCTTGAGGTGCGACCGGTTGGGGACGAAGCTGAGAGAACATTTGTTGGCCGGTGTCGCCGTGTTGTCAAGAGAAATGACGCGACCTTTGGAGTTCGTCAATTTATTTATTGGAGGCCGGTGTCGCCGTATCGTCAAGAGAGAACATTGAGATTTGCTGTATATTACCAGTAATTATTAAATAGAATAAATGATTTAATTTCTTATGTCAAAGGAATATTAAAATTTACATTAATTTTAAATTTTGTATTAAATTATTAACTTTAAAATATTTGGTTATAGTTTTAGTATGACAAATCTATGTATTTAGGAGGTTACAACAGAATATAGTGACAAACTTATTAGTGGACATTGCAGGCTCCCAGATATAATCTGATTTCCGACCATCAAAGGTGGTCGGAAACTCATCAAAGCTAACCAATAAAAAAACAACGGTGATAACGTTCTCAATCACCTTTCTAGTGGTATGCCTTTCCGACCACCATTTGAGAGTGGTCGATAATATTGTCCACATTCCGACCACTTAACAGGGTGGTCAATAATTTAGAAAAAACACTAATTTACCGTCCACTTTTTCTGTTGGTCGGAAAAGTGGACGGAAAATGTCATTTTTCCAACAGTGACACCTTGATTTAAATGATTGATTAATGTTTGATTTCTATAAATTGTTAATTGTATTGTAGAATTTAATACTGTGGTGCTGAAATTTGTATAATTGTAACAGGTCTAATTCATTTGATATTTGTAGAATTTTTTTTTTAAAAAAATTTTTGTTAGTAGTAAATCCTACCGACCACCTAGTGGTCGGTGTGGTCGGTAATTCAAGATTTTTAATTTTTTCTTTGTAAATCTCACCGGTGGATGGTAATTCCGACCAATTACCAACCACCAGTGGTAGGAAATATGCTCTCTCTATCCGACAACTTGTAGTTCCGACGTGCTTAAGAAGAAGCTGGTATTTCCGACCACCTTGAGTAGTTGTCGGTAACAGCGAGGACTTTTTTCCGAACCCATAAAGTGGTCGGTAAGTTGATCGGAAACTGCATTTTCGACCAAAAATCTCCCTTTCCCGATCACTTTTTGGTGGTCGGAAAAATGCAGATTTCCAGCCGTGTGTCCTCTAGACCGTCCAGTGTGTCTGCAACTGCAACTTTGCAAGAAAAGGGAATAGGGAAATAGAGATTAGGGAATAGGAATAGGAATAAGGAAAAATAAGATTAGAAAAAATAGAGATTAGGGAAATAACGATTATGGAATAGGAAATTTCAAGAGATTAGGAAAAATAGAGATTAAGGATTATCAAAGTAATTGATGATTATGATTTATGATGCATGCTACGTGATTACTGTAATACTACTGTTAGAGAGTTAGTCTGCAAATCCTCATATAATAATGTATATAAGTAATAAAGTAAATAATTTTATTTTTACAATTGTGCCGCCAAATTTGGAGCCCTATTGTAAAAAAAAAAAAAAAAAAAAAAAAAAAAAAATCTGTTTTAGAGCAATAAAAATTCTTTATATTTATAACTCATACAATATATATATATATATATATATATATATATATATATATATATATAAAGTTCAAATGCGGAGGGGTCATCCCGTGCGCCGGTGCGGTAGAATTTCAGAATACACCATTAGTGTTAACAGCATGCACTAACAGTGTAAGGAAAACACACCATAATGAAATGCAAAAAAACACCAAAAAACACACAACAAATCCAAAAAATACACCATATAATTCACCACCCACAATGTTGTAGTTCCGAACACTGTATGGTGCTTTTAATCACACCTAATGGTGTATTTTTGGTGATGTGTGTTGGAAAATTAGCTTAAAATGGCATAAAAATGGCATATTAAGTGGCTATTTTGTGGTACAATTATCAGTGGGGTCCACTTCCGATTTGGGTCAGGTCAAAGTGGATTCGGGTTCTTCGTAGTAAGACGAAGAGATTGATATATTGTACGCTCAAAACGGATAATGGGTGAATGAGATATTGATTCTCAAAGTAGACCCATTTGAGTTGGGAAATGAAGGGAAATAGAGGACTTTGTCCCACATTGGTTTGGAAACAAGATTTGCCCCCTTTATATACATGAGCTCTTTTGAAGCTTGTAGAATTGTATAGTAAAGAATCGTAGCATGTTTTATCCTGGGAAACCTAGGCTACAACGCTCCTAGCACTTGTGGGAGGTATAAGGTTTTAAGGAAAAGAACTTTGTGTTCGAACTCGTGCAAACCTATATCCAAACACTCCACTTTTTCCTTCCCAGTTTTACTATTTTCCCATATAATTTAATCTTTCCGTAGGATTAATATTTTTGAGATTTTCAACCATATTACCCAACAATGTGTACCTAATTTGTGTGTGTTTTGTGGTGTATTTTCCTAACGTTGATGGTGTATATTTGATGAACTATTGGTGACGTCGCACCGCCGCACCGTAAGACACCGCCGCACTTAATTGAACCTTCCTCTATGTGTGTGTGGGTGGGGGGAGGGGGGCTCCCAGTGGGGGGAGGGGGGGGGGGGGGAGGGGGGCTCCCAAATTTTGAGGGTCTTGTGCAAGGACTCTGGGTAAACATGCCCAAGACCGGTTTTGATGAGGGAAAGTGTATAAACCATGAAGGAAGTGTAATATTTATGAAAAGTCTTACTTATTTCACGAATAAAATTGAATGAGACAATCTTATAAGAAATTTTAGTTAATATTAATATCAATATTAATTTGCAATGGAGTTTTCTAGGAAATTTTCTAACAAATCAATTATGATTAAACCATTGCAAAGTTGTAACAACCCGAAATATATTTTGCAATGGGTACCAATTTTGTTATAATAAGCATTGAATTTAACAATTGTTATGCCATGGACCAAGGTTCATATATATTGCATTGTGAGCTCTGGTCTAAAAATTATGTCTATGTAGTTGACATATTATGTACCTCCAGTTATCGTTTCTATATACTTGAAGGCACATCACATAATATACACACATAATATGATAATTACGTACATATACATAAAGTGTTAACTATTGGTACAAAATATGTTACTTTTAAACGCATAAAATGTTAAGTATTTGCGGTTAACATATTTTGTACCTGCAGTTAACAGTTTGTGTGTGTCTGTAATTATCATGTGATATGTCTTCAATTTGTTTTCAGGTACAAAATGGCTAATTACATGTACAGAATGTGTAAATTGCAGATACATGATATGAAAGTTATATTTAGATCAGGATCCACAATGCAAGGTAAACTTTGATCCATGGTATATATAATTTGTCTGAATCAATTGTTATACTATAGACTAGGATCCTCGGATCCTGGTTCATAATAATATTCAAATTATGTGTCTTTAGTTAATATATTATGTGTTTGTAAATAAACTAAATATACATAATATGTTATTTTTTAAAAAAATGTACATAATATGTTAATAGTTTGTAGATAATTAAAGTACCATGCATACAAAACCGGGCGGAATGGGGGCTCATACGGTTCTTCAATTCTAGCATGTTTTACATCACCAGCATCATTATTGTACTTCCAATTCCAATTGTCAATGATTCATTAAAACGGATGTACAAGTAATAATAACCTACGAAAATTATAATTTCAATTAAATGTTTGTACCAAATATATATATATGGAGGGCTATGCAACCGTGTGCACCATTCAAGGTGTACACAGAATTAGATCCATAATTTCTATACTATAGATACATAATTTTTATATTATAAATTCATAATTTCTATACTGTAGATTCATAATTTCTATACTATAGATTCATAATTGTTATACTGTATAGTTATCAAATTATGAACATATAGTTCAGTGATTTGTGAATATAGAGTTCAACATCAATTGGGAATATGAACATAGAGTTTTGTAATTGTGATTATAGAGTTTAATAATTATGAATTTATAGTATAGAATTTATGGATCTACAGTATAGAAATTGTGGATCCAATTCCGTGTGCACGATGCATGGTGCACACGGTTGCACGGCATAATTTGCCAATATATATCGTACCTCAATAAATTGTGATGTACGATATTTATGTCAACTATTGTATATAGGCTTCATGATGGATATATTACGATCGGAACAAGACCCGGAGCCCCGACCCGCGGGGCCTCGGCTTTATGGGCCTCGACCAACTGGGCCTCGACCCACTGGGCCTCGACCCACTGGGCCTCGACCAACGAGGCCTCGGCCCTTGGGGACCTCAGCCATCAGTCACTCGACCCGGCCTGGAGAAGTCGTCCGGGAGAGAGGCCGACCTCAAACCGGTCAAGGGTCAACGCGGATCCAACCACCCCCCGCCTTACGGGGTGGCGGTTAGGGGTGGGGGTTGTATAAAAACTCCCCATCCACCTTGTCCCTTTAGGACATCTAATCATTTTCTTACACACTCTGTACTGGAACAATTATTGTAATAGCCAATTCTACGGCAATATTACGTTCTTATCCGGATTTAGTGATTTGGATCCACCCCGGGTTAATTAAATCCATCATTGGTGCTCTTGTTGAGAGCTGAACTCAAGACCTCCCACTTACCAAACGGGTGCTCTAACCAAATAGTTGACAATTTAGGGGTGTATTGAATTAAGATAAGAAAATACTATATATACCCTCATTCGATATTCTGAACTTTTACTTCCACACTTAATGTAGACACTTTTACAGGGATCCACATTATGAAAATAACCAATCAGCACCCGCCACATCAAGAAGTAGATTTGAGTGAGTAAGATTTGAGACTACATGTAGAACTTATTAAGATATTTATAAACTTTAAAAGACATTTAATCTGATTGATTTTAAATGACTTTTGTAAAATCTTTTTAGACTTTCATAGAATCTTTTAAACTTTTATCAAATTTATGAGTGTATAAAAATACATAGGACAAACATTTATAGACTTTTAAAAACTTTTTCATATTAAAATATGTACAAAAATCATTAAAACTCTAACGAACATTCCAATAATTTTCTTACAAAAAGGTTTATAATACATAATATACTTTTATAAATATAAATAAATTAAT